ATAATAATGCCGACCCCCTTCGCGAGATTCAAACGGTAAGTAGGTGCAAGGTGACTGCAGTGGATGAATGTAGGGGTGGCGTTTATTACGCAGGGAAAGAAATCTAAATTTCGACAACTGAAGTTGGGGGTGCGTTTATTATGCGAGGGCACTCAGTACATAAGTAAATACGGTAATACATGTAGGATTTAAAACCAACATGCAACAAGTACGACATATTGTTCATTTTGTAAAATAATAGGGCGAGAGATTGCAAAAGGCCTCAAGTACTGGTTTGATAACCAGATTTTTGCGATCCAAGGGCATCACGCTGCTGCTAGACCCCCTACTTCCCGTTAGACCCCCTACTAGCCTATGGCTATGGGTCTAATCAGTGTTGTGTATTTCATGAAATGTAATCAAAACAACCTCAATAAAATCCTAAAGTCCTATAGTTGGAATCCCATAAAATGATGATATCCAGGGCATCCAATCAAGTGCACATGCGCGTGCACTTGATTTCATGATAGGAGCACCACTGTCAAGCAGCAGTAGAGCCGACGTTCATTTCTCGCACTGCTTCGTAGAAATGAACCTCATTATAACGAAGTGGGATATACTCAACTAATGGATATAATGAAGCAATTGTAGTTCCCTTTAAATTCCCATAGATGCCCATATATTTAAAACCACATTTTAATCAAGTGGAAATTTCTTCACAATAGATATAACGAACCATCCTTTGTCCGCAACAAGCATTTACTGATCATTTTTGTATATGTCGATGTAATATCTTATAGGTCGCGACGGTTTAGGTATCATCACGGCTGTAGTTATTCAAAATTCGCACCTTGCGCTTGCCGGGAGCTGCTTGCCAGCGCGCACGTGGATGTGTCTCCCTGCCCTCCTTTCCTCGCAAGCTATGGGACTTGCCCGCGCAGCAACTCGCATGAGTGTGCACGTCAGCCGGCCTCCCCTCTTCTGTAGAACTCATTGACCCACCCGCGCATCTGACCTTCTCCTCCCCAGTCAGCCCCGCATTGGGACGGTGGGGATTGTGGCTTTGTTTTTTGTCATTCGCTGTGGAAGGGCAACACCACCTCTATTAGTTTCGCCGCCCGACATGATATGTACAACAGCAGCAGCAAACGTCAGCACAAAAATATAACAATCGAACAGGCGTCAAGAACGTTAAAAGCCGTTGAGTCCATGCCGAGAAAAAAAAAAAAGTAGTGGAAGATTTCGGCGATGTTGCCAGTGAGGGTGTTGTGGGCGACAAGGCCCAGACGTGGGATGCTCTCCTTGACGCTGGCGTTGGGCCTAACTTTCTGCATGTACATTGTTGCTGATGCTGACACGGTGACAACGAACGAATTGTCAGATGCGGAAATTATGCGCATGGTGACGGGAGTGCATGACGGCAGTAATGAATGCGTCGACATTCCGAAGCCTAATGTTAGCGAACTCGACGTACCGACACCTGCACAAGCGCTGGATGCGACAGATTTGCTGCGCCGCTTCTTTGGTGCTTACGGTGACGATGAAGACGGGCTCGAAATAGCTGCTGAAGCTTAAAAAGCAGTCATCCGTATGAAGAATAGTCAGTAAAAGTCTGTTATGAACTATTTTTCTTCAAAGTGATCTTCCAGATGGTGTGCTGAATTTGGTGGAAATAAAGGTGCATTGTTCTTTATTATATTGCTAGTTTTTTGCTTTTTATCAGCCGTTTTTTTCTGCCTGATGGGCTGCTGTGATATTAGGTAGTGAGTATATTCTCTCTTGCTGTCTAATTGTCGGGGGAAACGGATATTGGCTATAACGAATGAATGGTTATAATGTAATAATTACGACTCTTCCTTCAACTTCTTTATAACGAGGTTTGACTATACCTATGCCAAAGTGCTCCTAATATTGATTACCTGCTGCAAAACTAAACTTTACTGCTGTAAAATCCTTTCAATAGCAAGATTACCTGCTCTAAAATTCTCCAGAACTAAAGTTTTACTGCCCCAAGGTGCTCCTAAATGCAAGATTACCTGCTCCAAAATGCCCCAAAAGTAAAATTTTAGTGCTCCAATATGCTCATAACGGAAAGTATACTTGCTCCAAAATGTTCCAAATCTAAAATTTTACTGCTCCAAAGAGCTCCAATACTAATATTTGACTGCTCCAAAGTGCTCCAAGACTGAAATTTGATGGCTCCGAAAATTTCTCCAAATCGATAGTCCTCAGTGGGCTGTTAGCTTCATAAAGAAGTTGCTCTGTTTTAAGTGTTTTTAAAAATTTGTCTCAAGGAAAAGAATGAGGTGCTGCGAAAAAGAATTTTAGCAAAAGCATTACCTCACTCTCAAAGCATTGCTATATGCGCAGTTGCTGCAGAATTGGTGTCAAATTAATCTGACGAGTCATGGTGCAATCTGTTCTATGGCTCCACTTAGTTCTGCATCTCTCCGTAAGCCTACACATACGTGTTCTAATATGTACTGATGGGATCAGAAGAAATGAAGCGTGGTGCCTGCCTGCTCTGCTGTTCGCATTTGTTCTCATTGTGCTCTCACCCACTTTGCAATCATCCTTGATTGCATCATGCTCAAATTTAATGAGGTTCTAATGACAGATAGGTTACAAGCACTATAAGGAATGTTGTCAGGGCAAGTGCCGTACTGTTCCCATTTCTGTAATTGCACTAGTACGCCCATGCAGGCATGTATGCAAGCGAAAAATGCAGTGATTTCTAGCTCTATCAGTAAAAAACACAGCAGTATTTATTTGTGGCTGTAAAAGCACTCACAACTTTTAAAACGTGAGTTATTCCAAATAAAATCAACACCCTGCCACTGCAGCTGCACTGGACCAAATATGGTGGCGGGCAGGACGGTCACGGTATTTTTCTCATTCCAGTGACTTTAGTAACAACTGTATACCAGTGCCACCATCTGTGCACGTAGCCTTTGTGATTTGCAGTTCCTCGTGCTGTCTTTAGTTCAAAATATCATCGCTCTTCATGAAGAACTTATATGTATAGACAACTCATTCAAAATTTTTTCAAGCTGTTTTGTTTTCAAGCTGCAACTCAACTCAAGCGCACTCCTACCATATAGCTGCCCTGTTAGGCACTGCATGGCATCAATTTGACTTCATGAAAACAAAGTGTTTAATGTGCTAAAGCTTAATAATTTAGTTCCAAAAATTTTAAAAATTGTTGCATCTCTGTGATGTGAATGTGCATGTTTGAAAAGTGCGCAACGCCATCAGCCTGAACCAAAGACGACGAAGATGATGCTCGGTTGTGGCATGTGTGGACGTGATCATTTTATGCGAATAAGGTGCCTCCACGGAGATTTAGGACAGCCGTGGGAGAAGAACAGCGAAGCCAGACAGATCGAACTGAGTCGGGATCGAATGAAGAAGGTGGGACGCGGGGGTGGCGGCCAGCAGAGCTCCTGCATCAAGGTCGCTGCGGGATCAACCTGGACACAGAACTTCTTCTTGTCGCCTGGCGTGGGCCAGGTTTGTTGTGATCTTCTGGCATTGACCAAGAAACGCCTCCGGCTTCGTGTGCCAGCTGCGGCTGCCGAACGCCGAAAGGTCACTGACTTCTAGTGGCCCGATGCTTTTCTCACTCCAAGACAAGGATGTGAACGTCTCGACCTATTCACTAGACTTCCCCTGCTGCATGAGTGCGTCTTCATCGTTATTGCGCCACATCAGCTGCAAGCAACGCGTTGCCAGTATATAATGATATGGTTTTTTTCCTGTGACCATTTATTTTCACGCGCTGCTGGAATCTTTTAGCTATCTGTTTTTCCTGTTAACCTCTTTCTACTTTTTCATGTTTCGTTCTTTGTCTGTCATTTACTATATTTTGGCAGTTTTGTAAATATATTCAGTTTTGGGGATTTGTTGGGAACAAATGGTCTCGTCGGCTCATTTCTCGATGAAGGTCATGTTATTGGCTTTTGGTTTACACATACCTACACAAGAGCTTGCCCATTAAAATAGCCTCATGACAATGTCCAAGCTTTCTGAAGTGTTCTTGTTGCATGTTTTATTACAAAACTGACATGGGGTGGAGGCAAACAGGATGCATAGAAACCAAGCCATGTGAACATTAACACGTTATGGGCCACAGTTTGTGACCTTGTTTCTCATGTATCCATTATAAAGCACTGTTTGAACAGCCAGTCTCGTCATCAGTTGGCAAGAAGAGTTGACCTGGCAGAAAAGTGGTTATCAGCTTTCTTTACATGTCGGTTAAACTATGTGGCATCGAAGCCACGTCACAATGGTCTAGTGGCTAAAGTACTCGGCTGCTGACCCGCAGGTCGTGGGATCGAATCCCGGCTGCGGCGGCTGCATTTTTGGTGGAGGTGAAAATGCTGTAGGCCGTTATGCTTAGATTTGGGTGCATATTAAAGAACCCCAGAAGGTCGATATTTCCGGAGCCCTTCACTATGCCGTGTCGCATAATTATATGGTTGTTTTCGGACTTTAAACCCCACATATCAATTATATGTGGTGTAGAAAGCGCACGTCTGTTGATTCATGCTGGCTTGGTGCATTATATGTACTTGGCTGTGTTGTCATGGTTGGTACCTTGCAATTAGATGTTATTCTGAGTTAGAAGATACTGCAAAATGTTTTAGTTGAATTTGTCATTCTGATATATGCATGCTGCAAATATTAAAGCATTGCTTCTTTTGTACTCCAAGCTTCTTCGATGTTGTGCCTAAAACTTAAGTTGTAAATTATTGATGTGGTGTCATGTTCTTGTGTTTGTGTCAAGGTATTACTGTGAAAGTTGAGGATAATAAGAAACGTTCAGGCTGTCGTGGAAAAGAAATATCCATTACACGATTTCTCTATTAACCTTATTATGCCTTTAACATTGTTGTGTTAAGGATTGTTATATTAAGGTATATGGTAAGACCGCACAAACATTTTAGCTCCAAAATGATTTCTTGAGATTTTCAGAAATGATTTCTGTTGGTTAGAAATTCTTTTTCTTGGCTCTTTTACAGGAATCTAGGCATGTCAAGGTGGATGACAACGCAGCGATCACAGTGGTGGATTTTCGAGGATGAAAATGAGCATTCAGGTGAATGTGGAAGTGTGCATCCAGTGTAAAAAAACAAGAACACAAGAGAGACTGTACATTTTTTTGTATTTTCTGTCTCCGGAAAGAGGGGTTGTTTAGGACACTCACTGTTTTGTTAATCTCAGTGCTAGTCATAACTGCATACTTTGTCCTCTTGTTGTGCCTGCATCGTTATTGACGTCAACATCAATTGTGAATAAAAGCTTTGCAAAGAAGCCATAGCCTAGGAATATTAACAAAACAAAACAAAAAATGCTTAGGAGATACTGGTGATTTAAATTCTGTGAAGGTGGTGCCATATTCTGTACTGATTATTTTCAGTGCTATTATTTCCAGCATGTGCCACTTGGCTGTAGGAGCAGCTATGACAATCGAGGATTGTAAGCATGTACACACACCTACAAATGGCGTTGTTTTTGCAGTGATGTTCTTCAAATGCTCTGAAAAGGGGTCAACGAGTAAAGCAAGTGCCTCTTGCTTATCTCTTCCCAGTTGGACGTAGGTCTCTTTACTTATGAAACTCATTTTCGGCGTATTAGTCGCACCTACAGCCTGTATGCCAATCTTTGATAAACTTTGTTAAGTTAAATTTTTTGTATGACTCTCCTCTTGACTTGCTGACTGTGCAGTGCCAATTAGAGTACTCAAAATTGCTTAAAGGGGCCCTGAGCTGCCTTTATTTAATATCTCGAAAATGTTGTGGAAGGAGCAAGTTTACTCTCAAAAGCGTGTGACCGAGAATATTTTTTGAAAACCTGGTATGAACAAAGCTATTATTGACACAGTGTTTTTTTATTTAGCATCCTCCCGCAGTGTTCTTCAGTCCGAAGGAGTGCTTGCCCACCTGTGGTGTTGTCTTATTCTTCTTGGATTAGTGTGACTGAGCTTGGGTTTTAGATGTGAGGGTGTAACACTTACGAAAGTTTTAAATGCTAATGTTTGGATGTTTGACTACTGCAGCCTGTTTAGTTGAAGATGTCAATATATGCAGTAACACTAGGAAGGAGGGAACTCACGTAAGCATCCTGCCTGTTTAATGCCATGCATTGGCCAGTGGGACTGACAAAAGAGCCGTGACAAAACAAGCCGCTTGCGTTGAGCGACTGTATTCGAGCCAATGATTTTGTTTTTTGGTCAGCTGAGCTTTGAATGGAGCTGCAAGAGTTTGCTTGAGTTCAGCATTGAAAACTGAACGATTTGCAGTGGCTGAAGCTTGGGTAAATGATGACGGTTGCAATCTACGAAGCACGTGAAGTCACACATGCCTTTCAAAATGGCAGTCACCGATTGTGGGTTGGGTTTAAAGCTGGTAACTTCTAGGGCTCATTTAGTGCCGTAATATTTCACAGTCCATTTTCTATATTTCTGCAGGCACAATGGACCTTTTACTTCTTTTTTTTTTTTGGTAAAAACCACAATTCAGCGGCTTACCGTGTCTTGGCCCCTTTAATTATTCAAATCCGAGCATTTGCTCGTTCATCCCGACGAGAGTGGACGTCCATGCCTCTTGCCGAAATCTAGGGCGTGATTTAAATTTCAATTGAGTGTCAGCATTGAATTCTGCTATTCAACCCTTTCAGACGCCACCTATGAAGAACTGTTTGTAAACGTATCGAATCGTTACAACATTATTGCAAGGCACTCAATATGCTATTATGACTAGAATAATGAGATAATTTTTGAAGTTAGGGGTGTTATAACTCATCTTAATTAAATTTTAATTGAATATCTCTTTGCCTTAAAATCGTAGATGCTTACTTTTCGCATAAATAAAATAAGCTTTCAAGCAAGGAATGTAGTGCAAATTTATTTCATGTTATGTTCATTTTGGGCACAGCATAATTCTTTTCACATTGCTTGAAGGAAGGGGCACGTCGCACAACTCGTCAAACGTGGTAGTGCCTTCAGAAAAGTGACCATATGTACCACTAAACTACAAAATGAGGTTAGATAAAGACTAATTTAGTATGCAGGAGGTTCAATTCATTCAAAGTATAAGATACCTTGCTTTTTCCTAGTATCTACTTGATGCAAATAGTGAAGACGAGTAATGTACACAATTGTGTACAAAGCATTTCAAAGGGTTAATGCTCTGGTTCATACTGGTGGGTATTCTCAGCACCCTGCATATTCCCACCTGTAGAATGGAGTTGCTGTCCATCTGGTTCGTGACATCATTCTAGAGTGCTTGCTCATTTGTGCAGGCTCATGGTCATCTTTTCTTTTTTTTAATTCAAGTACCCTAAAGACCTGAGCAGGCATTATATAAGGGATTTGCAATGAATCGGTTACAGTCACAAAGTACATATTCAAACCGGTAAAACATAAACACAATAAAAAAAGTAATACTACATGTATTCAAACTAGTAGTTCAGCAACAAAGCACATATTTAGTTGGAACAAGAAATAATCGGAACATACACGTATACGTACATATATCCACATAACACATACAATTTATGATAGTTTATTTGCACCGCAGTGGATAAATGAAAGTAAAGCAGCATAAGAAAGAAAAGAAAAAAAGAGAATAGAGTTCCCAAGGAACTAATAGTTAAATTACAAAAGCTTCGCTTTGTATAGCAATTGGATGTACAAAAACATTCTAACTTGACGTGAAAATAACCTTTAAGCTTTTTGAAAAAATCATAATTATAGAAGAAACTGCTATATCTGCAGGTAACTTGTTCAATGATATATTGTGAGGAAGAGGGGGGATTTACTTCAATTGTTTCTGCGTGCAAGAACGAGTTGCACTTTAAAGGGGTGGTCAAGGTGTGGGAAGACGCGATGGGCAGGTCTAATTTGGCATGCGCTGAGAGATAAACTTGAGGGATAAAGTTTGTGGAATGGAGGTAGAAGTGCTACCAATCTCCTATTTTCTAGTGGGGTTAGATGGAGAGATCTGTTTAGGTTGGTTATTCTACATGTTCGTGAGCAATCTTTTGCAATGAAAAGGATGCCCTATTTGGACTGTCTCGAGTTTGTCGATCAGGTAAGAGGAATGCGGGTGCCAAATAAAGGATGCATATTTTATTTTTGCACGATCCGATGTCGTGTAAGCTTATAATGCAGTAGACGTTTTTGTCAAGTAAATGTTAAACCTAGGGTTTAGCATGCAGTGCTGCAGTCTGCTTTAATATGATCATTCCATGAAACATTAGATGATAAATGAACACGCAAGCATTTTATTGTATCCACATGTGCAATTGTAGTTGCAATACTCGAGGCATTGCCAAGTTGAACTTTAATGCATTCTTTCAAATAGTATTGCTTTTAACTTAACTTTGAAGTTTAGAAGTTTGACAACATCAGGTCGAGTGTGATCGGGTTCACGTTGGCCGATTCAGTGGGCTTGCTCAATTTTACCTGGTTGAATTTCTAAGATTTCAGAACGAATTTACGAATCAGTTTTTCTGTATCACACTATTTTTTAGCTGCTTGCTCAGGAACACTCTTGAACACAAGATTATTGTGCCTCGTTCTATTATTTAAGTCATCCTCAACAAGGTTGCCTTGTTGAGTCTGTTTTAGCTCAGTACTTTTCAGCTGCCCTTGTGATTCTTGCAGAATAGAGCCGACAGCCATCATGTTTTCATATAAGTTGTCAACACTCACAACGCGCTCCTCAATTTTGGAGAGACATCTTTTGATGTCTGTCACAGTAGTGCGGATGTCTTTTAGCTTGTTCATCACTTCCTTTTGAAAATGTTCATTTGAAGCATTGAGTTTCTTTAGTAGAGAAAGGGAAAAAACACAAGCAGTAAATGTCCACCCACGAAGTATCAGCGACTAAATGAGCACGAACAGAGCCACACACAACTACATATTTCCGTAATTTTTCTTCGCTTATTGAAACAGCCGATTCGAGCGTGGTATGTGCACACATTAATATACCTATACTTAGTTACTTATTCGTGCATTGACATTGTGCTATGGGGGATATGCAGCCAGTTACAAACTACAAAAAGTAAGCAAGTTGCTACACACTCGCCTAGAAAACACTTTATTAGCTTGAGGTTTTGGGCTACAAATCTCCACTTGGGTGGCTTGAATGATCTTTTTGAGAGCTGGGCTTATCTGAGGGCGCTTAAAGTAATGAGTAGTTCAAGCGGTGGGCACTGGCAGCACTGGTATGAAGCTGATTGCCTCAGATGAAATGGTGATTGCAAGTCATGGCGCAAGGTATATGGGCATGCCACATCTCCAGGTGGCACCCTGCAAGACCAACGCAACTCAGCCGGTAGCATTAATCCAACGCAGCCTTTGAGGAGGGAATACCGCAGCTTTCTAAACTTGTATTCAACACAGAGCAGGGAAGTGCTTTATCCAGAAAAGTTTTCAATTTTTTTCAGCTTTTTAGCTTGGCATTCATGATAAAGTTTTGCACAAATACTTTTTGTTATCTTTTTGTTTTCACGGTCTCTTTGATTGACTGAATTTTTCTGTAGACGCCTGCAAAATGGATCAAGGTTGGGGATAAGTAAAATTATTATTTACCCAACTCTAGCACGAAGCTGCAAAGAAAACTCCTACTGGCTTCCTGGATCTCACTTGCTTGGGAATTGTAAGTGCAATGTTTTAGCGAAATGTTGCCGAGTAGATGTTCCTTTATTTAGCTCTGAGTCTTGGGGCTATTAAGGGCATATTGGCTGGTATGTGTGAGCACAGTACTTGTCTGATAGCATCTATTATATAATGTTGTACAAAGCTAGCTGTTTTTCTTCCTACAGTCAGTGGTTTCTATACCCAAATAAAACTTTTAGCAGGTTTTTTGCGAAAACTAAAAAGCAATATGAAGTGTACTCATGTCGCTGAAAGTGATCATTTCAGAGTATGGCTTCTGCTAGGTGATGTTTTTAGCTTCAACACCTGAGGAAGAATTGTCTGCATCTCATGGGAGGTCTTATAGAGCAAATATTTATAATTATATTTCACGTTCAATTTTTGTGAAACTATCTTTTAATGCTAGATTATAAGGAGTAAGGTGCCACTGGACCATGGGGTTGGCTACCAGTAACGTTCACTATAAACTTCTCATTTTCAAGGCCATCTTTCTATGCCTTTATGCCACCTTTGGGCCGTCGTGAGTTTTGCTACGTGTGTATATTTGCAAGGGTGCGTGAAATATGATTTGGACAGGTTCACTTTATAAAATTGTTGCTGTGTAAATGGCTCAAGTTTGTGGGCCTTCGAAAGCTGTGAGGGCTGAGGATTTCAATTTAGTGGAAATATTTCATTCATGTGAAAATACTCTTCTGAGCATTATAGTTTATAGGTGGTAATCAAGTGCTTCGATTGATTTTTTATGTTAAAGACTTCAGTGGGGTACTGTACTGACAGAATGAAATGCGACAGGAAAACAAGCATAGATTCTGGTGACTCACTATGCTGCAAACCTGTATCTAGGCGCGCAAGCCAAAATTTTTCTCAATTGCAGTAGTATGTAGATAATAGAAACCAAAATAAGCGTAATATTTAACCGTTGACTGCCACATTTTATTCCTTGAACCTAGTATACATTGCAATAAAATAAATACTAATCTAGACTCTATTGTGTGCTATCCAATAACTTTTTCCAACCAGCACATTGTCTTATGGATTGGGCTGTTTTTTTATTTTTTATTTTACTGCACCTTTGTTTACTGGCACAACATAATTATACTTATTTCATGGCTGAGGTAATCATTGCGTAGAATGGTCATGTGAGGTTGTACCATGGGGAAGAAGTTCTCTCTCTCTCTGTGAATGTAATGTGTGTGTCTCAAAGTGATATTTTTGGTGAAAAGTCAGAGGAAAAGTGGCATTTTTTTTATTGAAGCTCAACTGCAACTATATTTTAGACTTCGAAGGAAGCTTAGTAGTAGTATAGATATAGGGAAGCTTCCATGCAAAATTGTATGCTTGAAATAAAAGTAAGTATTGTGAAAAGGCTGCAAGAACAGCTATTTCGGGTTCTGAAACTGATATAAAAAAAAAAGGACATGAGTTCAGGAATAAGTAATCTTCCATGGGGCACTCAAACACATTAGAGGTGGCTGGCCGAAACTAGCACTATTAGTGAAAACCACGATGTGTACACAGCGTCACTTAGGAATGAGAAACATACGATGCCATTAACAGCCCCATGGTTTTGCTAGGATTGCTTCAGGGAATCTATATCATGTGTGCGTAATAAAGTTCACCAAAGGGAAATTTGGTGGCAGTCAGCCTTTAAGATTAGGCATTTTAAGGATTTGAATGACTTTAAGAGCATAGCATTTTAAGGATTTGAATGGCTTTAGGAGCATAACATCTTAAGGATTTGAATGGCTTTAGGAGCATAACCTAATTAAATTAGTGTGTACAGTTATCTTGTTTTCACAAATGCTTTTGTTTATTCTCAAACCAAACACCTTCTTGTTTGGAAAGCTGGCATTACTGCTGGTTGGCAAAGACGTACAACCTTAATTAGGATGTAGAAACTTTTTTCGCCTAATGACTGCGCTTATGTTGTGCTTTGCCTGACTTCTTGCCGTGTATGCTTAGTAAGGCAAAAGTATTGTTGCAAAAATATTTTAGAGGCTGATTTGTGAGACTTTGGTTGATAGAATATAATATAGGTGCTATAGGCTTCTGTGAAACGTAGATTCAATTGTTTTATGGAATGCATTGTGGGAAAGCTGAGACTGATTTAGTGCAGTAAAACATGGTGCAAATAATATAAAGGAGCCATTAAGCAACACCACCATGATGCGGGTAATATCTACAAGTTCCACAAGGTTCATTGATAGCTTGAGTGTGGTTTGTTTTTAAACATGTTACCAAGGCTGAGTGGAATATTAATGGTAGATCATCATATTCATACCCTATGTGAATATTTTTCTGTGCATTGCATTTGAATGATTGGTGCATTCGAGCAGGTTTCCTCATGAAAAAGTTAGACAGGTTATTACTTTAAAGTAAAAGTAATAATATAAATAAAAGCAGTTTATTGTGAACTTGCACACATTTTTTATGCAGAATTTTGTGTGAATACATTCCTGTCAACCTCGATATAATAAACACACGAGTTTTTGACAAACTGTTCAATTTTTTGTGCCTCCAATGCCATGTTTTTGCGGTAATCCATGTGCTGAAGCACACAACATGAAGGTGTGTGCGATGTCAGCAGCTAGTGGTGTAGGGCTGGCATTTACAGTGCAGGAATAGTGCAAGGATAACAGGGGCCAACCAATGGTGTTGCAAAGTATGTGTATTGGTACATGCTCTCTTTGGGCAGTAAGACACTATAAACTGTTGCCTTTTTAGGAATATCAATAATGTTTGTTTAATGCATTTATCCATGACTGCTCACGCAGGTTTTCTTTTTTTTTTCAAATAATTTTGTTTTTTGTGACGTATCGACAGTCCTTACGTAGGGTGAAAAGTAGATTTTTAGACGACATTCTATGACTGCTTGCACAGGTACCATTTGTCTCTATTTTCCAGAGCAATAAACTCGCTGCAGAAGTTTATTTCGCAAATTTTTTGCCATTGTTTTTTGTTTGTTTTTGCATCCACCGATTATAAGTAGAGTTACCGGGATCTGTCGCAGGCTTTGAGGACTTAGTCTTCTTTCATCCCAACAACCAGGGCCGCAACTAGGGAGTTGGAGGGTGGTGGTGGTTGTGACACCCCCCAAAGTTTTTTCATGCTTTAACTTTTTGAGTTGCACTAGAGTATTTATGTACCTTCAAAGTGAACACCAGTGGGGGTGAAGTTAGACATAAACACCTCCCCCCAAGAAAAAAGCGAAAACATTCCTGGGTACGGCCCTGCTAACAAGCATAGCGGAAGCTACGCGTGGAGTGGTGTGAGAATAAGGTAAGTGGTTCATGACCTTTCAGTAGTTTCCCTCGATCGTTCTTTTTTTTTTTTTGAACATGTTCGGACCCTTCTGGTTCGGACGAGCGTTGTCCCGCACAGGCGTAGTGGTTGGAATTTCAATACTATTCCTCACCGCTCTCCCACAGCGCAAAATAGTCCAGACGAATGAACTTGTTTGTGCTGCTTTTACCTTTTACCACGTTTGACCAACTAGCCCTCCAACGACCCCCCCCCCCCCCTCCCTTTAGAATGAGCGCGCTTACGTGCGCTTCACGTGGGCGACAACAGTGGCCCTCCTCGAAATGAGGCTTGGGACTTCGCTATCAGCTCCGTACCTGCCAACTCTTCTGATTTGCCCGGGTGACTCGCTTTCTGACCTCCTGATAACCTCGGATACTGCCCTAACCCAATTTCAAAAACTCCCAAGCATTTCCCCGAGGGTGAACATGGTTAAGTGCGAATGCACGGGGTGATGCTATGAGGGGTATTTATTAATTCGCATTCCGAACTCGTTCCAAAGAACCCGCAACGCGTTCAACCTGTTCGTCTCGTTCCTCACGCCGGAAATGCAGCTCAGGTTGTTATCGAACCACAGCCGGTCACACACGGCGCAGCTGTGACCGAAGCTGCGATCCACTAAGTCGCGTTTGAAACGCGCGTCCGGACGAGCAAAGTCCAGGGCTCGCACCCTCTCCCGCGCGGCACGTTCACTGGCTCGAACGGCTTCGGGAACGTCCACTCGCCGTTGACGATTGCGAGCGGCGGCGTCTTCATGCCGGCCTTCATCGCCCTTCTCCGCCTGACGCTTGCGTTGCCGTTCCGCTTCTTGGGCCGCGTTCGCGGCTCGATGCTGACGCCTCATCTCGGCCTCGCGAGCGCGCAGTTCACCATCCGCTGCACGCTTCGCCCGCTTGTCCTCGGCCTCGCGAGCGCGAAGTTCGGCATCCTCTGCACGCTTCGCCCACTTGTCCTCGGCCTCGCGAGCGCGCAGTTCGGCATCCGCTGCACGCTTCGCCCGCTTGCACTCGGCCTCGCGAGCACGCAGTTCGGCATCCGCTGCACGCTTCGCCCGCTTACGTTCGGTCTCACGAGCCCTTCGCAGCGCCGCCTTGTCTTCCAACGTCGGCAAAACCACCGCGGTACCGTCACCTCCAACGACGGGTGCAGTGATGGCATTCGGTTGTACTGCATTCGTTGTTGATGGTAGCGTTGCCTCCGGGACATCCATCGCACGACCCGCTCTCGACGGGAGACTGAGAGAGAAGGCGGGCGCGCGAGAGAGAGAGGTGCGCGCGCAGCTGCAGCGAGCGAGGAGAGCGGAGGAGCGAGCGAAGGGAGAGGGGGACGCGCGCAGCGGTGTTAAAGATATAAGGCGCGTTACCGACACCGGATTCGCTCGCAGGAGTTCAAGTTGGACGGTTGTGCCCTCGCGATCTCCGACGCCAGCGAAGCTCCCGCCGACTGGTTCGCCCTCCGCGGTCTCCTGACGCCGTGTAGCTCTCGCATTGTGGCACCCCGCCCTTGGACTGCTTCGACCGGATCCCCACTTTCCTATCTCCTTCTTTTTCTGTCGCTTGCCTGTCTTCTTCTTCGTCTATTTTCCTTCTATTCTTTTTATCCCTCCTTCCCCCCACCCCTATAAGGCACTGCGCCGTGTCGCCTGAAGGCAGACAGAAGTTAGGTGCCTTTTTCCTCTTTTTTCTAACCACTACCACCACCACTGACACCGATATCAGCGTCGCGCTGCGGCCCGCCAAGTCCTCTTTCTTTTAAAGATAGAGAGAAGACTGCGGACGCCGCCGACGGCGGTGGATGGTTTGGGGTCGCTAATAAAGTGTATTCACACTTAAAATAAATAAAAAATAAAAATAGACTTTAAGGCAATGGCTATCATGAGAAATCTAAACCATGGCGCTACCGTGCTGCTGTTATACTTACTTCTGGCTGAGCTTTGCGAGTTCCTATTCTTCGGATGTTCATGGCCGCTGTCCTTACACGCCGTACCATGGCTGCTAAAACTTGACTAATGCATAAAAATATAATGCAGGAAAAACTACAGAGAGAAAAAAAAGGAAAATAGAGAAGTTTTTAGAGGTTTTGATATTTCAAATTTTTAGATGACCGCACAGGTGCATTTACTTCACCTAACCATTCAGAATCTAGATTGAAACGCTTTTTGATGAGACACATCAGTACTTATTAGATTGGGAATAATAATGGGATAAGTTCGGATGCCTGAATAAAATCGCAAACTGAATTGAAAGCATCCCTGTGGCAATGTCCCAAAACTGAGGCACCATAGTTAAGTGCAGTTTCCGCCGTCAACCTAACACCTATCTTCGGAAAGGGAATAAGTAGAAGCCTCTTTCTAAGTAAAGAGTGTGGGCGACAACATTGAAAAAATGTTCTAATGTTTCTATTTATCCGCAGAATCCACAGAGGGGTGATATCACCGGAACAGCTCTGTGTAAATGTAGATTTAGAGGGGGACACGACATTGAAATATAGTAATCAAAACTTCGAGCTTTCTGGACTGACTCCACTGGTACGCCATGGAAGCTTGAAGTGATATTCTGTCCATGTGGTTATTGTTTCTATCGTATCAGTGCAGATTTCGGATTCTATATATATATCTTATTGCGGTTATATATCCTACTTCTGGCATTATGGGCGTTATCGGGCCATCAAGCGCGGCCCGTGCTAAGGAATCGGCCAGTTCATTCAATCTTAATCCTCAGTGACCTGGAACCCACAGCAACCTCAGGTGTCTGAACTGCGGTGGCACTAATGTTCAGAATGTTCTTAGAGTTCGATAGTTCTCAGAAGCTGTCAGAGCTGCAGAAACTGACAGGGAATCTGTCATTATGACTGCGCTGTTTTCGTTTGAGGGAAGTTTTTGAAGTGCTAAAATAACCGCCACGAGCTCAGCTTCAAAAACTGGAGTAAAATCAGGCAGTCTGACTGAGAAGGACGAGCCAAGTAAATCAGAGGCAATGCCTACGCTTGCCTTTTGATTATTCACTGAAGCATCTGTGTATGCACCAGGTAATCTATTATTATTTTGTTTAAAAATATGAGAGACTGGAACTTGGCTTTTTTGGGGGGGCTAATATCATGTTCAATCATTAGCTTCAGGCATAATTCTTCATATTCGCCACAGCATAAAAAATTGCGCAGAATTTCTTGAAAGTGGAGGCTACCTTGATTCTCCGAAGAATAATGAAGGATGGCACAGTGAATGCCTCCCGACCACAGGAAAATTATGATAATTTATGGCTGTGACGCAAATTCTTACTGATTTGTCTCTCCTGGGCGGAGCCTCGGAGATATATTAATACGGACAAAGCCGTCCGCTTCACAAGCAACACCCAGACATTTAATCAATAATTAAAGCGAAAACCCAACAAAAACTACCAGAAGATGAATACTTGGCTAAAAGTTGGCTTTAGAAGAAGGAAAAAAAAAACATCTGAAGTCCCCAGTTGAAGTCAACACTACACGATCCAGTTCTGACGTGGTGATTCGGCGGAGCGGGGAATAGCGCAAGTTCTGTCTCACAAAAGCGTTGCGGCTTGAATGGTGGCGTGGACTGATGCTCGCTGGCGGCGACGATGGAACGGGGTTGGCTCGGTGACGCTTTTGGTGACCCAGATTCGTCCGACGAGGCGACTGGATGCAAGCTCAGGCCCATGGCCCAGCTGCCATTGCTGCACCTGCATCGGAATCTGAAGGCGTTATTCTGGAACACTGTGGCAGCTCGCGCTCCCCGGAAGGCGCTGTCTGGAGGCCCAAGCCGGGTGAAATCCAGAAGACTCGGGTCCACCACCCGACTGCCCGTCTTCAGCTCCCAGCTACGCCCCCCCCCCCTTTTTTTTTTTGCCTGGGTCATCTGGAACTACCACCTCTTTTGCACTCCAGGCTTGGCTTGCCCTGGCGCACACTTGTCTCGTTCCGAATACCTTTTTACAACTGCGTGGTGAACAGCTATTGGCTCTTGCTTCTTTTATGATTCTGATTCTTGCGCTCCGCGCTCTCACGCGCGCCGGTCCTCGACGTCGTCGTTGTTGTTTTGGTGACACGGCACGTGCACTCGGTCTTCTTTTCCTTTCGCGCACTTTTCAAACATTCACATAACGTGCACCACTCGCATCGCAGTGGACCCTTTCCGAAGAAGTTTTCCCGGTTTAAAAACTATCGCTCAATGCACAACACGCA